GAAATTTCACTATTCTACATGTACAGTAAACTGTAGCACATGTTGTACACCTTCAAGCGTTTTTATGTGTACTGCATTTTTTACTTTTTTATTTTATTTTTTACTGTACTGTATTGTGGTGCATGCCAAGTTCATACAATTCTTTGGTATTTTAACTTTTCTAGTCATTTTCATCTACTGCAAGATTACTTTACGGTAGTAAAATGAAACTGTTTTTTTTCCCCAAAAGTTCATTGTTGAATTATACTGTACTTGCACTAAACGTGATTATACTATCTAAGTAGCCTATGTAATTTGAATAGAACCGCATGTCTTCTTTAGTGATTCAAGCTCAGAAACATTTATAACCTGTTGAAGTTTTTTATGTTGTGTATATGTTGTGACTTGGTGCCATGATGGATATTGAAATGTTGTTATTTATTTTTCATTTTAAACAGTATGGATGATTACTTAATGGTAATACAATATTTGTGAACACAACTGTGTATGTCAGACCATAAATCCCCAAAAACTATGCATGGGGGCTTGCTTTGGTGTTGCCACCCCTCATAGACCCCATGCCACCCCTTTGCCACCCTAAAAATTATTTTCTAGATCCGCCCCTGCCTCAATGTATGTGGCCGACAAACGCGACCTCCGGAGGACGCAGCAGCAGCCTCCAAAATGAGACGCAGATTCAGATTTATAAAAATACATGAGGTGGTTTATAATTTGCAAACAATACAAATATTGCAAATGTACACATTAGCAGATCAACTTACAGTGTAAGGCTCGATGCTTTCCATCGTCAGGTGCACTCGTTCCTGTTGGTGTCGTCAATCTGGCAACCTGTGTGTGCGTCAAGTCTGAGGAGGAGGGACTGGGTGAAAAAAACCCTCTGCAATATTTTGAATTTTGACTGCAATACCTAGTCCAACCACTCTGTGTCAATCCTACATACAGCACCTTTAACGTTATTTTTAATGAAAATTCAGACCACGTCAGTTAAAAACTTGGTACTTTGTTCACTTCATTTTACCACAAATTCATTTACAAACAAGGCACAATTCAATGCAGAATTTTCATAAAGACTGAAATTAAAAGATGATGCTGTGCTGACTATATTGGACCCGACAGTAATGTTGTGTCACACAAGTGTGAGTAGCTGTTTTTAATACGTGATCACTATTGCTTTGTCTGTTATTACAGTTTGTTTAATATGTAATGTGTATTTATGCATTTCTAACCTAAAACACAGCAACATCCATATATAAAGGATGTAGGCTGTCAAACATACACAACTATTAGCCAATCATAACAGTGGGCATTTATTTCAAAGTCTACAATCCACCACGCCTATTCAAATATAGCGTTCTGATGGGGGGGGGGGTTTAAAAACAGGACATAAAATAGCCTATTACTTCTAAATTATTATGTTTTTTGATGTAAAATATTGCCATTATAAGTGGACCTCAGAAAACAATACAATACATTAAAAAGGTAGTTCATGACCTCTTTAAAAATAATTCTTACTATTGTGATTTTATATCCCACAATTCTGACTTTGTAACTCACAATTCTGACTTTTTTTCTTGCAGTTGTGAGTTTATGTCCCACAATTCTGACTTTGAAACTCGCAATTTTAAATTTATATCATGCAGTTCTGAAAAATAAATAAATAAATAGGCAGATGTAAACTAGCAATTCCGAGAAAAAGGCAGAAAAAAAAAATCGCATTTACCTTTTAAAGTTTTTATTTAGGGGCTTCCATACATGAAGATGACTTGTTAGTAATTAAAAATGTGGAGTGTCAATTTACACTAAGTGCAAATAGCCCGCCTTGTTGGAGGCTATTTACACTAACTCCGCCCACCAACATGTGATTGGTGTAGTCAACGACTGTCAAATGTTAGCTTCTGTGGCGTAGATGGTAAAGCATGTACCACAGTGTCTTTGATGCGATCGATCCAGGTTCGAATCCGCCCTTTGCCAAACTTGTTTTCCCCCTTTTCAAATCTCATATCACATCGAAAAAGCATGTATTTTCAATAAAAATGAAGGAAATAATCAAGAAGTTGAAACTAAAGTATCAGGTAGGGTTAGGGTAGGTCTAGAGAGGGCTTTATTGTCCCAATAAGGTGACATCCATTTAATAATTTGAATTAAAATTATAATTTACACTCAATACATTACTATTGCATACTGTTTTAAAATGTACTACAATAATGAGGTGCAGATAACTGCCACTATTTGCATTAAGTAGTATAAATAACAATCTAGACAATCCCTCAGTGTAAATAATATCTATTGCTATTTGCACTTAGTGTAAATAGTCTCTATCGCTATTTACACTTAGTGCAAACAGCCACTGCCTTAAAAATAAGCACTAAGAACAAAAAAAAAAAAAAAAAAAAAAACATTTT